TGGCACTGATCATTGTCTTCTTTGATTACAGTAGCCTCATCTTCCTGCAGAGGGGATAAAAGAAAACGGCTGCTTGGTGTTAAGAAAGTGTCAAAAATAATGAGGCACATACCATGCGTTAATGGTGTCCCAGTGGCTCAGTGGATTGAAGCGCATACCGTGTACTCACAACATTATGGGACGATGTCCCGGACAGGGATTAAGTCTAGTCCAAGACTACGATGCTTTTCAGTGAATTTTTCCAGTGAATTTTGCCTTTAGCCTCGGACTAGTCTTAATCCCTGTCTGAAAAGCTGGCACCAAAAGTCTTGAATGAACATCAGATTTATGCTGCATGCCAACAACTCTTTCTCCCTCATTTTTGTACTTTATAAAAAATAATGGTGATTCTCAACTCTTCCTACCTACACGCTTCAAAGTCTACACTCTCAAGAACAGTTTCAAATACAGCTCTCTCACATAATTGAATAATGAGCATGTTTTACAGCAGGGTGTGGACTTCAAAAGAATTTCCCCAGAGAGACTACCAGGTTAAAGGACAGAAAATGAATAATGTGTTGTGGTTCTACTGTCATGACCTGTAATAAGGACTTTTCCATGTCCTTTGGCAAATCTGTGGCATAAATAAACATTTCCGAGACAAAAGGCCTTGATTCTCCTTCTGTCTGTGTGGAGATGAGAATAGGCGCAGGGGAAGGAGGGCTGTCGCCTCTCTGATGATAATAATAGCAGGTCTGGTAATGGTAATTGGTCTCTGCTCCCTCCTCTGTCGCTACCTGGCAGAGGGCACTGCAAAGGGTGATTCAGGCACTAGGCATGAATGGAAAACTCCTGGAGGAAGGCCGCACACACTCACGCACTGGTACCTCCAAGACAGCCAGGTCCAACTCACTCATCCTCCTGTACACCAACACATTCCTACACGCATGTGGGCACGCACGCAAAAACATGCACGTACCCCCATCCTGACAGACGCAAAACATCCATCTTGCTTAGTGTGAGTGACGTGACAGAAGCGTTTACAGGCAACGGCAGCTATTTTGTGACCATCATTCAGATGAAAGTCTAACAACAAACAACTGACCTGTTAGCTGAACTATTTGGTTACCTCTTGGTGCCAGAGAGACCCCTAATGCAAGCTGTCCTATCTTGAAAGAGTTCATTTTTATCAGACAGGGCATCATCTGTAACCAATAGACGGCCTCCTCTTACGAAATGAGAGCCTGCTCGACAGATGTCTCCTGCCTCTCTTACTCTCTCTTTCTCCCCATTTACATCCACATCTTAGATGGCACCTCTTGACTTAAGTCAGGATCAAGGTTGTTTACTGGTTCTCTGGGTAATATCAGGAACATGTGGTGAGGGAACATGAAAGGAACTCTTACAGTGTGTTAACACCCAAAACCTCTGTACATGTTTGTTTTGGGGTTTTTAAACAATAGCTTCAACATGAAATTAAGGGGAGCCGCTTCCGGAGGTTTACCTCAGGGTGACACAGAAGAGAAGCTGGAGCGCAAAACGTTTTCACAAGAGAGGTAGCCTCAAATGTCAAAGCTCTCTAACACTACAGTCACATCCAATCAATCATTACAATAAAGAAATCTATATATTTGCGCTAAAAACATCCTTTTTTTGTGACTCCTCTCTATGACAAGAAATAAACAAAATCTGGTTCAGACTTTTTTTTGGAAAAATCTGGAGAGAAATGTTAGCCACAAGAGAAATTAAGAGTCATTACTACAATAAACACAAAACTTCTGAAGGTTTCAACAACTTTTCAACTAATTCGTAACACCTGAGTCTTATTCCATACATTTCCAGTTCCCTTTTCGTCCTGGCTTTTAGCAGATTTCCACACTTAAACACTTTGTGGCATAATACCACTAAGTCTCAGGCTTTGCTGATGCGACCTTCATGGGATTTAGTGCTGCGGGTGAGTCCCACAATCCCTAACCTGATATCATATGTTTTATGCTGGTGCTGTGTAGTTTACTGTGTAGGAGAGGGTGACAATTTAAAGGAATTTAAGGAAACTTTTCTATGAAATATAAAAGTTTTATAGATGTTGATCTCTCCTTTGTTCTTCCAATGAAGACCTCCACCTGTTTCTGATGATGTGAGCCAGAGCCTGTCCCTTTCAAGAGGCTGATCCCTCCTGATCTCTTTGATGTAACCTGACCTAACAGTTCCAACTAGCAGGATTTGATGATCACGGATGGACCCTCGACAACAGCATGTGCAAATCAAAACTAACAGGCACGGGGGAGACGGACGACGGGGATGTGTGAGCAGACCTGGCAGGCTGCGCAGACGGCGAGCCCTCACAGAGCTATGATGTGTCTAAACGCCAGGCAGGCAACGGTCACACGATCAATGCTGCCAGCCCAGACTTAAGCAGTAAAACCTGTGGATCTGTGAGGGCACATGCAACTGATCGGAGATGAAAGACAGGCTTTGACTTTCACAGGAGGCCTGGAGTTGGGGTGGGGGCTATGGGGGCTACGGGGGCACTTGTGAGGGACTGCCATTAGAACAGCTGGGTCATTTTCAAATGACCTAATTCTAGGATTAATCCATTCGGACTTGCATGGTTAAATTTGTGTCCATGCTACACCCAGACGATGGGAGGCAAAGAAAAAGAGGGAGAGAGAGCGAGAGAGAGAATTACCAGTGAAAGCCAGAAAGGCTTAGCACTCGGGAGTTCAAACAAGGTGCACCACAGTAGAGAACAAACCACCGTGCGCCAACAGTAGCAAAGCGAACCAGTGTTTCCAACTCTCGTCTCCAGTCACATACTGTTAGGTCATTTCAACACAGAATCCTCCACGTTCTCTCTCTCTGGATCTAACGCATTCAGATCCCCTCGAAGTGCGATCATCTGCAGCTCACACTTTTCACTCACTCACTCGGGTCAGAGGACGTTTCGACACACCGCTGGGGCATCTCTTCATGGTAGCGAGTGTGTCAGAGGCCAGTGTCCATCTGCGAGTGATTTAAGGGTTACATTTTTGGGGATGACGTGTGATAAAACAGGGAGGTATGGGTCAAAATGACTAGACTCAATCTGTGACAGAGCCTCTCCTCCTGGGCCCTCCCTACCACATGTTTTAATCTATACAAGCATCTGTTTGAAGTTCCCAATGGATACCATCAGTCCTGCTGGTGACTTCATATCCATCTTACCTGGCTCAGAAGAGTTCGACATCCTTTAGGCACACTGATTAACCACGGGGCTACAGTCAGTGAGAGGGTTTTTTTTTTTTTTTTCTCCTGAGATGACATGAAGCACTTTTACAGTAATGCTGTGGCTGAGTTTCTATCAATATTTCCAAACCTTATCACGTTTTTTTCCCCAACAAGTTACACAAAAGTAACCCAGCAATGTGTCGAACTAATATCTGACATCTATTTTCCATCTCAATAAAGGTGTGCTCGTGGTTTGTCACTCATAGCTGCCGTCACACGAGGAGACTCTCTCAAAAACTACACTGATGTCTGAAGAAACGTGGGTCAGCTCAGAACACCTGGCACGCTGGCAGCTCTCTCTAATCTTACTGCCACAAAGCTGATACAGCGTCAATCAATAAGCGACCTGAAGCTCGGGTTCACATCTGCGCTACTGTGACAAAAAGCTGAGTAAAATCCTCTTAAACTGATGTAACAGTGGTTTGCTGCTTTCATAAAAATGCACAAATAGACTATCGAACAGAAATGAGTATAAAAGTATGTATAAGTACTATCAAAATTTTTAATTTGACTTCAGAAATTCCTTGCAATGTCCATTCCTTTAAAGCTAAAACTGAATTACAGTGTCAGTCTTCTTCACATGTCACCAAAGCACCACCATGAAGCGCTACCTTGATGAATAATCACTATTGTTCTGTGGGCCAGACTCTTAACTTAAATGTGTCCTTAGAATGAGAGGTTTTTGGAGGGAAGCCTACCTCAACCATAACGAGGCATTCCTGTGTTAGAAAGCTGGCTTCCCATCAGGATGCTCTGCTTGACTTAAAATATACAGTAGACCAGGAAAGTTTGGAAGAGACTGAAGTGGGAGGGAGGAGGCGAGACTAGGGGGGAGAAAGACTGATGGTTGCTTTGATCTTTGGAGGCCTGTCTGGATTAAAAAAAAAAACAAAAAAAAAAAACAAGTGTCCAAATCTTTTTCTAAATCTGAAGAAAAACAGCACTCAAATAGTCAATAATAGGAGTGATTCTCAAAAACAGGTATGTGTGTTTTAAAGCTCGAGGATAATAGGCTACTCCTAACAATATCATACTTTTATTTACCTTAAAAAATAATAGGTTTCTCTTATTTAACCTGCTAAAGTCTCTTGAGATTCCTTGCCAAACATTTTTGGAACTCTGTAAGAGTTTTGATCATGTTTTGTTTTGTTTTTTTCCCCCACTTGATTTTCAGGCAAGTGTGTAACAAGATGCGTATTCTCACTTCATAAATTTGTGGTGGAATGGGAAATGGGCATTTCAAGGCCAATAAAAGCCACCACATCAAATAAAACATCGCGGATCAAAAGAACCAACGCATGGACATTTTTTTTCCCTCTATAAATTAAAAAGGGGGGTAGTCTGCCACGCTTGATCATGCCCTGAGTCCTGCCCCGCTCCTGCGATTGGCTGGACGGACACACAAGGGGGGAAAGTTTGAATAAAATACAAGAGCATGGCACGAGTGTTGTCGTTCAAGCTTGCGCGCTTGGTACAGCAGCGCTTGAGTTAGACTTGATAGATGGGCAAATAGCTGCAGCTGTAAGTTTGAAATATATCCAGCGAAGTCAGCGGATGACTGTGGTTGATCTCAGAGGACTTTTGATTTGAGTTGGCATTAAACTTCTGCGCCTCTGGGAGCGGACGGCAAGTGTTCTGGCGTCATTTGAAGGGTCGTTTCTTTATCGGCTCCATCTGTAAAAAAAAAAAAAAAAAAGAAAAAAAAAAGAAAAAAATCTGCGTCTCGGAGGAAGGACATCAAACCCAGGGATAAGATGACAGCGATCAGAATGGTTTCATCAGTGCTGCTGCTGGTGCTGATGCAGTCCGGAGCTCTTTGCGCACGGAGGTTCCGGGGTGGCCGCAACCCACAACCACGACGCGCAGCACCTCCTCCCACATACCGGGCCGACCGGGGTGACACCACGGAGAGCTTCCCTCTGGATTTCACCGCCGTGGAGGAGAACATGGATAACTTCATGACACAAGTCAAGAACCTGGCGCAGTCCCTGTACCCGTGCTCGGCACAGAAGCTCGACTACGACATGAAGCTGAACTTTTTGGAGAATACATCAGTCACCTGCAACGACGGAAGTCTCGCGGGGTATGTACCAACAGAGAGTAGCATTACAGTGCGATAGATCGTGATACCCATGCTACTGGATCACCGACAGGTCAAAGCAGGGTCAGCTGTGCAGCAGTGCACCCTGGAGCTGGTAGGAATTGTTATTTTTGCTTAAAGAGTTCTTCAGCAGGACGCACCACGTCCTGCTCGTCATCCTGCTACCCGAAGTAACCCACATGTATCTGGCCTGAGGACAGCAGTGCTCGGCTCAATAAACCTCAAAGTGTGCGGAAAAATATATTCGGGCTGTTTTGCTGCAAGTTTACCTTTTTTTTTTCTTTTGTAAGCGATCAATAAACATTAAAATTTTATACAGTAAAAGTAAATGTAGAAATAATAAATAAATAAATAAATTTGTAAACTTTCACAACATCAAAAAAGGACCATTTTCCAGGACAGAATAAGGTTCAGTTATGGTTCAGGATAAGATAGACAGCTGCTTTGCGTCAGCGAAGCGTGAAATTTGCGGATAGCCACATGGCCTATGCTTCATTTCCTTTGCTTCAAATTAGAATGCAGGATTTGCTCTGCAGAAAGTTCATATTTAAGTTTTCAGCCCCCCGCCCATCTCTCTCTGTCTGTCTGCCTCTCTCTCTCTCTCCCTCTGATGATCACATCCTCACTACCCCTATGAAAGATTTTTTTTGAGGTGAACATATGGATCACTGCTTGATCAACATTTGTTTACAATGACATCCACCATTGGCATTGTTGTTAAGCAGAAATCCATTTGGCAGTAAGAAAGCTTGCTGGAATTCTCTGCTAAAGAGGGATAAGCCATGGCACTAAAAGCATATTAACATCAGACAGACCCACTATCTCCTATTGTAGAATACATAAACAATGCTCAATCCTATAGACATTGTTCCATTCCATTTGGCAGCAGAGTCAAGTTGTGGTTTAAACTCTTAAATTCTTATATAAATAATACTGATAAGTGAGTTATGGGAGGAGGGGGTGAGTCAGAAGAAAGGCAGTTGTAAAAGGTGTATGTTTCATATTCATACATGTCTTTACATAATTGTCTTTAAGAGTCGAGTCCCAAGAACTGTGGATTTCACTTGTGTCTCAAACTGTCAGCGTATTATTCTGCATCATCATAATAAAGTTTTCCACCACAATGAAAGAACAATAGATAAATTGCATGAGCCCAATTTACTAGTAATATAGCCAGATTGAAAAGTGCCTTTTAATATGTTTATCATGGTGTGTGGTCATTACTATTTGCAGTGGCCACTAATATACAAACACTTTACTGTTAACATTGTCCATGTCATACCAGGAGACTTTGATGACCGTTGGCCATTGTGCATAGGAACTCATCTAGGACCAGTTCAGCAATGGCCAGACTTGACTGAAATGGGTTTTGATATACATATCTCTTTATGGATTTAGCATCCTAATTCCTGTTAAACCCCAGAGTGCATGGTAGAAAGAGATGTCCGTTAGCGTGGTAAAGCTCTTAGGTTTTTAGAGACGCAGCATGAGGAGTGCAGGGGACAGTTACTGGCAGATGGCCGTTTCATTCACTACTGTAGTTGTCAGTAGAGATACTAATCCATCAGCTACTAACAGTGTTCTCCAGAGAGGTATAGTCACAATTAGAGACAAACAAAGATGCAACGTGAAAAAAAAAAAAAAAAAAAATCATTCACTGGACAGGGAGGTGGAACTGTGTGATTCATCTTCTGGAGTTGCACTTGTTAGAGTGAGTGGGTTGATGCAGCGCCTTTCCCTCTTGGCTTGTCCAGCCTTGCCAAACCCATCTTTACTTTAACGTTTGGAAGTAGTAGCTGAGTAGAGTGCACGGTCTTCAGCCTACATCACTGACTTGCAGCTAACAATAACAATACAAGACATTTACTGCGGCCAAAGTGTGATTCAGTGTCTGAGAAAACAGCTCAGAGCTTCAGCCAGGTCTGTTTTCTTAAAAATCACTGAAATATTTTTGGCAATCTCTTGAGTTTAGTCATTGGTAAAGTTGGGTGGATACTCACTGAATAAAAAAAAAGAAAGACATCTTGCTGCATCACAGAAGGACTTTTGGAACACTTTGTTCCTGTGGCTAAAGCTACTTTACACACCAGAAATGTTTAATTTGCCTCATCTTCAATTAAAATGCTCTGCGGTGAAAATCCGGTTGAAAAACAGATGATGATGCATGTTCTGCAGCATGGGAGAATCAAGATAGTATTGCCCTCTTCTGGGCTGACAACATACAGCACACATCTCTTATAGTCTCACACGCATTAACTTCTTTTTACTCCATATAGCACAAAAATGTCACTTTATTTTACCCATGGTGCATTTAAGGGGCTTTATCTTGGGCAAATATGGGTGCAACTCAACAGCCAGTGTGTGTGTGTGTTGACATCTACACTGGCCAAATGAAGTTAGGTTATTTCTCTTGGGCAGGAGCCTTGATTTTCTTGTGTGTGAGGGAAAATCCTGAGGAACGATGAGCTCAGAGTGAAGAGCTCATGATGGTACATTGGCTATTCTTGCTACATTAAACACAAGGAATACCATCTACTGGCATCTAACAGGATAGGGGACGGGATGATGTTTATCTCCTGCCTGTTCACTAGATCAGTTTCACAAGTGCTGAAGATACACACAACATCATTGTTCTCCGCTGTGTCCTCACTGAATCTATGTTGGCAGAATTACATTTTTGCTGTTGTCTGTCACTTTTTTGAGATAGCAATCAACAACAGGATATCCTTGTTTAGATTAACAAGAAAAAAAAAAAGGATGATGTCAGGTGTGTTTTTGTTTCATGCTTGGATACCATCACTGATGGTAGAAACAGCCAGGGTATTACTTTCCAGCGTTTATCTCATATCTCTCTCTGAATAAGAAAGTACACCCTATCGAGATTGCGGAACGTGGCTGCATCTCGCTGTTGTTTAGATATATTGTTATGCAGGTAGTGTAAAATAAACCTTGAGAAATTTAGAATTGTATTCACATATTTCAATTATCTGCATGCACCTCAAACATAATTGACACGCCTGCTATAATGACTTGATTTCATATTGTTTGGTCTCTTGTAGGTACTACCTGAAAGAATCGCGAGGGAGCAGACGGTGGTTGATATTCTTAGAGGGTCAGTATTAAGGACTAATTTTACTAATTTCATTTAATCTCCATGTTAAGAAGAGATGAATAATTGTAGACAATTTGTGTGAGAAATTATCCATGTTTTGTTTTTTTGTGTATCTATCATTAGGTGGCTGGTACTGCTTCAACAAGGAGAACTGTGATAGCCGATATGACACCATGAGGAGACTGATGAGCTCATCCAAGTGGCCCCAAACTAAAACAGGTCAGCCTCAGCAAGTCTGAATAGTTCACTACACTCCCATCTGTGGCCTGTAGCAAAACCCTAACCCCCCACCCCACCCTCACGTGGTGAAAAGAGTACCCAGATCCTACTGTAATGTCTCAGAAATTAAAAGGATCTGACGTATCTGTGCTCATCTGGAGTGTTATTGAGATTGACACCCGGTCATATAGCTGTGGTGTGGGGCTACCTGGCGCCCATCGCTGTAGGAACAGAGACGCCTCCCTCTCTCATTGCAGTGTAATAACTGTAATCCATGTGGTAATGATGATGAGGAAGAAGAGGATGTGCCTGGGAGTGCCAGGATGGCTAATGATACATGTTCATCTGTCTCTGTAGGCACGGGGATCCTGTCTCCACTGCCTGAGGAAAACCCTCACTGGTGGAATGCCAACATGGTGTAAGTTGACTCGTGTTTTTGTGCTTATTGACACACAGTTTTTAATCATAGGCGGCAACTTTAACTGTACGTTGGTTGTGCAGGTTCATCCCTTACTGCTCCAGCGATGTGTGGAGTGGTGCTACAGCCAAAACAGAGCAAAGTAAGAAATGACTGAAAGATTAAATTTCATGTCTATCGTTATTGCTGAGTGCTATTTTACAACTCCACTCTCTTTGTCTTATGCGTAGACGGCTATGCCTTCATGGGCTCACTGATTATTCAGGAGGTTGTGAAGGACCTGCTGAACAAGGGTCTGGACAATGCCAAGGTCCTCCTATTAGCAGGAAGCAGGTATGTTATGATTTGAAATTCAAAATCTTCTACGTTTCATTCCCATATATTTATAGGTAACAATATGAAAATGTCATATTTCTGTGGAGCAGTGCGGGTGGTACTGGGGTCCTGCTGAACGTGGACCGGGTGGCAGAACAGCTGGAGGGACTCGGGCACACTGGGATACAAGTTCGTGGTCTGTCTGATTCTGGCTGGTTTCTGGACAACAAGCAGTACCACTGCACCGACTGTGTGGACACTGTCAGCTGTGCCCCCACAGAGACCATCAAGAGAGGCATCAAGTGAGGAAGCCAACGAATATTATCATAAAATGATAAAAGTCAAGATTTGTGGTTGTATTTTAGGCAGCTGATGAGATCATCAGGTTGCTAGTTTAGACATCATGTCCCATCTGTACTTTTTACCTGCCCTGTCAGGTACTGGGGAGGAGTGGTGCCAGAGAGGTGCAGGCAGGCCCATCAAGGAGAAGAGTGGAACTGTTTCTTTGGATATAGAGTGTTCCCGTCAATAAAAAGTGAGTCTGCAGTCTCGTTCAGTGCTGTGTAAAAATGCAAATACTGTACATGCTAAGGTTTTTGTGCTTCAACGACATATCTATATAAGCCAAAACCATCTGTGTGGTACATGTATAGCACACACATATGTACTATAATTTTAATCTTCCATTTGCCCTGCGCAGGTCCTGTGTTCGTGGTCCAATGGCTCTTTGATGAGGCCCAGCTGACAGTGGACAACATCCAGCTAACGGGTCAACCTGTGCAGGAAGGCCAGTGGCGTTACATCCAAAATCTTGGCATAGAACTGAGGAACACACTCAAAGATGTCCCGTAAGTTTATGTCTCTGAATTCTAGGAAGATAATTTAAGTAAGGTTTATTGCATGGATTCAGATTGATTTTTTTTTCTCCTAATTTCAGGGCTATGTTTGCTCCAGCGTGCCTATCTCATGAAGTCATCACCAGAAAGTGAGTATGATTTAATTTTCACATCTCCCTTTTCAGTGTATAATTATCAGGGGACATTAAACTTTGCGCTTAGGATGTTTTACCTGTGAGCTGACAGCGCCCCCTTGTGTTGTATTCTAGTTACTGGATTGACGTGCAGGTTAAAGGCACCTCCTTGCCCCGAGCGCTGCACTGCTGGGACCGGAGCCTCCACGACAACAGGAACAACAAAGCTCCTCCCAAAGGCTGCCCTGTACATTTGATCGACAGCTGCCCATGGCCACACTGCAACCCCACCTGCCCGACCATCCGAGACCAGTTCACAGGACAAGAGATGAATGTCATTCAGTTCCTCATGCACATGGGCTTTGATGTGCAGAAGATGGCTCAGCAGCAGGGCATGGACCCCAGCAAGCTACTGGGCATGCTCAGCAGCGGCAGCTAAAGGAACACACATACACTCAGCATCTCCAAGCTAAGCCCAAGCAGGGCTGTCTGGTCTCTCTGGCCAGTCTCCCATGCCTGATACCTCCAACTACCAATCCACCTTCACAACCCATTCTACCTATGGTCTATTCCCCTCTGACCTCCTGTTTACTTTAGTTCAAACCTCAGTCTTACAAAGGGGCTTAGATATTGTCCCACAATCCCTTTCCTCACAATACTGGTGACAGGTACAGGGGCAACATGCCACCTTGACAAGGCACAACTCTCTGCTACTCTCCATTTAAATTATCTTTTGCTTTGTAAAAGAAAAAAATATCACGAATGTAATCCAGTTTTAAGGATGCTCATTGATGTTTTGTTTTTTTTTATATAATTTTCATCCTTGCATATAGATTATATTTAGTCATTGTTAAAAAAAAAAAAAAAAAAAAAGCAAGAAAAAAGAAGAAAACACTACAATGACGTAAGGATGCTGTCTTTGTTAAGTAGTCACTATAGAGAATATAAGGGTATCATTTTCAAAACATTTCAAAACAGCTTTATAGTTCGGTTCTGCAAACATCTCAAACATCAAAAAAAAAAAAAGGGACGTATGAGAAGTTGAGAAAAGCACTGGATCAGAAAGGAAATTTTATATTTACCTCTAAAACAATGGCAAGAATGATAGAGAGAGACAAGTGATGCTAATACTCCTCTAATCAACTTAACACACACACATAGTAGGGCTACAGAAATTAAACCTACAAATATCAGATGTTATTCCTTACTAAAGAAATGAGAAGAAAAGAAAAGAAAAAGACAGACAATGCTCCACACAGTCTTTATATTATTGTTATCATGGGATAAACAGAAAAGGTCCCTTTAACTCATTCTGGAAAGAAATGGAAAAGTGGCATATTTTCAACAGCTGTGAAAATGCCATCCTGTCCGGTTGAGTCATGTTCTGAAACAGACTGTGGTGCTAAAGTGGACCTGGAAGCACTTTAGCGTCTATCAGTAGCTACACATACACCACAGTGCCATTACATATAGCCTATACCTCTTTCTCACAGGCCACATCATCACAAGAAGACTGTTCAATCAGTGGGTACATGCTCATGTTAGGTCACCTCAGTAGTTCAGCAATCTTCAGATCAATGCAATGAACATTTAAAGGGAGACAAATATTGTGTATTGTATTTTTTTTTTGTTTTGAGTATTTGTATAGGTTCTTTCAAGTGTTCACTATTGCAACTCCCTGCTTATATTTCAAAATAGAGATCACTTTTTAATATAATGACAATGTTGTATGTAATGATGTCTTTATAAATGATGTTTTTAAAGGACCTCTATTTCGCATCACACCAGAGAAGGAAAGGTATTACTAATTGTAATTTTATTCTGTAACATATTTTTTAACAGAAAAAAACTCAAGCTACATTGGTAATTTACATATTTATTTTGTTATGTAAATCATATTTATAAGTGCTATTTTCACAGAGAAGTGATTCTTTGTAAATTGTAAATACATTGCTGTTTTTTCTCTTTGTGTTGATTGCATGTCTTTGTATCAGACCTAAAAGAAAAGACACATTACATATACTACAAGGTAATGCTGTGCAGTCTTGTTATTATTGTTATGATTATGCCTATTACTATTATTATCACTATCAACACCATAAGTAAAAGTAGCAGTAATAGAAGTACAGTGTTGGTATTTACACAATTCTCATTTCTATTTTACAGTCACAGTACAAAAGGCTTTAGCAAGAGGTAAGTTCACCAGCTCCCTCAGGCTGCCATCACAGTCTGTCGCTATTTTGACACATCTGATCATGGATATGAGGCTTAGTGTATGCACACTGACTATCAAGGGTTTTTTAACACCTTGTATTTTAGCAGTTTCTGTTAAATCTCAAGCAAAATAGTCAATCCCCTAAAATGAGAAAATATTTCAGATTAGGTAAAGTAAATTGAGAAATGTTTTGAGTTTTCATTTAACTGCAATTGACTCATAACTAATAGGAAAGGAACTGATATTCTCAAACTTAAAACAATCAGTCTACAATATTTTTTCCAGTTCTGCAGCACAAAAGGTGACATATTTACTAGCTAAAGCTTCTCTGCGCTGTGTAAAAGGTCACTTTGTCATGCTGTGACCCTTATTCAGCCGTGTCTTTTTGTTTGATACACTCACTGTCTTTATGATAATTGACTGCTGTTATTTATCCATGAGCTTTTACAATTTGACTTTCAATCACCTATTCGCACATACACTCACACGTCGATAAAAGGCATGCGATTAGTGCACGTCCTGCTCTACCTCCTGAGTCACGGCCATCTTTACACACAATCATCAACTTCTGATTTTGTTGCAGGTTCAAGTATGCTGTTGTCTCAGTTTGGGCCACTTTAGCAATTTACCTGTAAACTTATGTGTCATGAGAATTTTTTTCACCAATAATGAATAATTTTTTGTAGTCTTTCATCACAAATTAAAACCTTATACCTAAAAAAAATCTACATTTCAGACCCTACTGGCACTAATTTACGGCAGGTGAACTACAACATTAAAAGAATACTCCACTGATTTAGCTGTGATGTTGTCAGACTTACCTTGAACAAGGATAAAAAAATGGATAGAAACAGAATATTACATATTTTGCATTCAATATTCCTCGCATTCTTCCTCTTTGTCAAAACATGGCACAAACATTACCCACCATGCAACTTGACCCCTGGTGGCTTGGTTGGAGATTTGGGTGTGCTAACATTAGAAGTAGCTAATGTAGCCTGCTCCCACTAGCCTCAAGCTGAGAAGAGGAGTGAAGCTCTTCTCTGTCTAACTCCACACACCTACATTCTTTTCATTTTCAAATTTATAATCTGCAGCTACAAAAGGCTCAATACAAATGTTTTCACATCATGCAGACTTTGATTTTTAAAATTGGTGGAGTACCCCTTGAAGAACATAAAGGCAATGCCTGATTGTAACTATATTTATTGGACAAATATGTTATCTACAGCAGACAATTAAAGTCATCTAATTAGTAAGGGTAATCTAGGCCATTTCCAATAAATTACAAAGATAGAAAAGTTTTTTATAACTGTTCTGTATTTCTATATATTTTTTCATAATAGGATATTTACAAAAATGTACTGCAAAGGATTTAGACAATATAGTCTTAATATGATATGTTCAAAAACTTCAGAAATCATTTGACATGACTTCAAAAACTATTCTAGTAGGTAGTTTTCTGTAAGAACCACCTTGCACACTGTAAATCAAAAATCATGGCATACTACTATCACAGGTTCAAGTATTTTAAGTAACTGCTAATCAATTTCCACTTCCCTCTCACATGTATAGCTCAAATCTGTCATCACTTGTGTATAATCATCCATCTGGACCTGTATGTAATTTCTGTCTCTAATGGGAGTCTAAGACTGCCCCCCCCTGTCATTACACTGCATATAAATGCCAGTTTCTTACTGAGGGTAGCTCTGACTCAGCCTCTCTGGGTGCTCCCTAGAAATACGACTCCCATGCTGCCTGCCACATGTAGCCTCCCACCCCTCTGTGGAATATAGACCCCCTATTTATAGACCTGGCGAGGCTTGTAACCCTGGGCTCGGCACAAACTTTCATTTAAACAGTCACCCATAGCAATCCAAAGAGAGCACACTGACACACACAAGACACATAGGGAGTGGGAGGGTGTGTGCTTGTGTGAGCAAGAAAGAGTGGGAGACCAAATCCAAGAAGCATAGGCAGACAGAAACAGCAAGACAAAGAGCAAGAGACAGAGCCAACAGTTTGAGTGATCTTCACAGACAGTTAAGGGCCTACAGTAAAGAAATTACAAGGATCGAATCATGGAGTAACGGGACTTGGCTGACAGGACAACAAACTAGTCCACCTGTTCAGCGCCGAGAGCTATTGTTGGAAGATTGATCTCTGCATATGACTTACAGAGGAAAGCTTATTGGACAAGCCCTTACTTCACTTTAAACTTTGGATGCATTGGACAACTTGGTGATTGAAGAAAGAAAGCAAGGAAAAACCGAGATTTCTGAGGACATACACCCCAGCTTTGAGTAAGACCAGGATCATACTCTTATTCTCTAACACAACTAAAAAAGGACAGAAACCAGTTTCATATAATTTATAGAAAAAAAGATACTATATGCATAGTTTATAGACTTGTGCAGCCAAGTTGTGACATTTACTTAAAACAAAACTTGCCAATCAAAAAGGTAAAGGTCTTACTAAATGTCCTTTACAATTAAAAACTACAGTACAAACTTATACATAACAGTGTATAAATGTAACTTAGGCCCAGTGCTGTAATTACAAAGCAAGTCCAGGGTAAAATTATAAGGGAGGAAGGAAAGGGTGAGGTCTGTGACGAAAGAGAACAGTAGGCCGCAAGGACGCCAAGACAGAGAAAAGGACGTTGAGAAGCCCACCAAGAAAGACAACTGCTTCTGGGGGACAACAAACACACCATGGATTCTCATGGAGGACACTACCTCAACAAAGATGCTGTGTTGTCACCTTTAGGTGCAGCACGAATGTGCCAGCTGCTACTTGGCTGCACTATAATGGCCCTTGTGTCCCACAGTGCAGGTTACAGCGCCACCTATGGAACCTTCTGCATGTTTGTGTGGTGCTTCTGCTTTGCTGTGACACTGGTCGTGTTTACCTTGGACATTACACGGCTCCACACATGCATGCCCATTTCCTGGGATAACTTCACTGTGGCCTTTGCAATGCTGGCAACTCTAATGTACATCACCGCATCTGTGGTCTACCCTGTTTACTTCCTCCAGACAGAGTGCCCTGATGAAAGCTGTGAGGTTCAAATCTATCGCATTGCTGTCACTGTCTGCTCCTGTGTCTGCTGTTTCCCCTACGGAGCTGAGGTATTCCTAACTCGAGCCAAACCAGGGGCTGTGGTGGGTTATATGGCCACTGTGTCTGGTCTACTCAAGGTGGTCCAGGGTTTTGTGGCCTGCATCATTTTTGGGGCCCTGGCCAATGACAGCGAGTACAACCTCTACATTGCTACCCAGTATTGTGTAGTGGTGTACAGCCTGTGCTTCTCTGTGACTGTGATAGTGGTCATTCTGACTGTTTCTGGAAGGACCTCAGCCCTGCGGTTCCCCTTTGACCGATTTGTAGTTGTCTACACCTTCTTTGCCGTGATCCTCTACCTCAGTACCGCACTGATCTGGCCCATCTTCAGCTTTGATAAGAAATACAGCACCGCTACTCGTCCTGAGGACTGTCCACGTGGAGAATGTCCCTGGGACAGTAAGCTGGTGGTGGCAGTTTTCACCAATGTCAACCTAATCTTATATTTTATTGATCTTGTTTACTCCCAGAGGATTCGCTTTGTCTCCAGCTCTGCTGTCTGAAAAATGTTACCCCCTCAGCCTCAGAGACAAATAAAGAAGGTCTGAACATCCAACATGCCCTCAACAGTCAGGTCTCTGTGAAGATGTCATTCCCTTGAATCCATGAATTTATTGTTATGTATGTGTAACATTTTTTATTATCAGTATTCATTATTATTCTAGTATTAGGCCTCTGTGCTAGGTAACAAAACTACAGTATTTCAGGCCTTTCTCCAGTTCTGCAGGGACCTACCAGGGAGAGCATGCCAGGTGCACCGTTGAGCTGATCTCAGCAACTTTGTCCACAGAGAACTCTGGGAAACATGTCCATCTCAGCACCTTCCACTCCAAGTTCCTTTGGTGGTCTCAAACAAGACAGACCTATGCAAGTGTGTGATAGTGATTAGAGTATCAGAACAGTGCTATGTCAGATAGACACCCTCAGTCTTACAAAGACTAAGCAATTTATTTAATTGTATTTAAAAAAATAAAAAATACTATGCCTCTCATAGAGATGCATAGTATTAAGTCTACAGTATGCACTGAATGTAGCTTTTGGTTTTGGCTTTAAAGCCATTTTGCTGTTGTTTTTTCCCAATTTATATTATATTCCTCATACATGTAATGTCAACAGTTTGAGTTTATTAGGCTTTTCCTGTTATCCACTGAATGTTAAATGTATCTAATACATGAGTTTTTTGAAGGCAAAATTTTGACAACAGTATCAAATGATTATTTGTGATAAGCACAATTATGCAGTGTTATATTTCTTAATTTGTTTCTGACATGTTCCATGTTTAATAAAATATCAAATAGTTGGCTATGTATGTCAGTCTATGTGTTGTTCTTTTTGATTACTCTACTTTTTATTTACATGAGGTAGCTGATAGGCCTATGTGAAGCCTTGCTTTCAACTGTCAGAAGACAGAAGACTCTTATGGGCTTTTAAGGTTCAAAATCAAAATTTAAATTGTTTGTGCTAATTGTTAATAATAAGTACATTTGATTCATAGCTTGATTAAATCAAATTAGCACACACTATATCTCAAAAGCCTTCTATCTGTTTTGTGGACTGGATGAGGGCAGCCACATGGCCTTCCATACCCTTTACCAAACCTAGTTAGCAAAGCTTTACCAAACATAATTAGCAAAGCTTTACAACCATACTGGTGAATATTTTAGCAGCTTCAATGTCGAGTGTGTGAGGCTGACATAAATGAACAAGACCAAGAAATATGGAGCATTGATTAAATAAAAGAAAACACAGGCAACTTACATCTGTTAACTAGGTTACACGTTGCCTCCCACTGGCTTTCTGGGTCAGGATAACATGTCTGTCTCCATTCCCACACTGTCTTCAACATGCCTTTCAAGCTTTTCACCAGTAGATGATAGTAAAGTACCGTCAACTTACCTACCCCGCGGCATTACCTGATGCAACTGGCTTTTCGGCTTTACATAACCCAGCCCACTGTTATCGTTCCGACAGCAGTGATTGGTCAAACGTATTGCGTGTTAGCCAAACGTACAAATTCATTGGCTTTCTCGCTTGTCAGTCAAAGATTTCCCCAAGGTACAGTATGGTACAGCGCGAGCCAACCCAGGCCACGTTGACAGTGTTGTAACTTCAGGTGTTTTTGTTGAACGGTTGTTGTATCAGTCGGTGACTCGGTGAAGTTAGGGGCTCTTCGATATATTCGTAAGTTTTTTTCATTACATACACATTCACTGTTAGTTGTTATTTCTGCTGTGTGTTTGTGTGTTTAGAAATGTTGCTTCGCTTAATAAGGAAGTTGGAGTTTGTTTACAACTGTAGCACAACATAGCTAAAAGCTGCGAGCTGCACATCCGTTCTTAGACTTAGCCAATCATGTATCTTTTTTAAGATGAAATGCATTAATGCCTACTAAAGTAACTGTTTTCAACTCTTCACATACACAGGTAGAATGAGTGTGGGTTTCATAGGGGCGGGTCAGCTGGCCCACGCTCTGGTGAGAGGCTTCTCAGCTGCAGGTGAGTGAATAATACTTTCCCATGTGTGTATTATTCAGAATTGACTTATGGTGTTGATGTATGTTGATTGCAATCACACACTGAAATGATTTCTGGACACTTTTTCATCCTTCAAGGCGTGATTGCCACCCACAAAATCACAGCCAGTTCCCCAGATACAGATCTCCCAACAGTGCAGGGACTGCGGGTGGGTAGACAATTAGGGATAGGTATTATTAATTGCTTTGCTTGCACATAATGTATTCCCATGTGTACTTCTGTCCAGTGACATACTGAAACCCATGTCATTTGTACAGAAATTGGGTGTGAACTTCACCACCAGCAACAAAGAGACAGTGAACAAGAGTGATGTTCTCTTCCTTGCTGTGAAGCCCCACATCATTCCTTTTGTACTGGATGAGATTGGATCAGACATCGAAGATCGTCACCTTATTGTGTCCTGTGCGGCAGGTGTCACCATCAGCTCCATAGAGAAGGCAAGTCATAGCCCTCTGCCTTCCCACATTATTTACAGAATAGAAATAGTTAATAGCTGAACTGGAAGAATAGTCAAATGTCTTTTTAATAACTCAGTCCTTAATTATTTTGCATTATCTTGGATTAGACAATAGTGTGTGCATAGTATCTAGCCTAGAGGTATGTTCAGTTGAGAAATGTGGATATGATGTTCAGCAGGTAGATGCTGTTTTTCACTGTAAAATTGAAATGAAAATTGGATCCTGAACAGTGCCTTTAAAACCAGCAAAACACGTTTAAACTGTAGTGTAACACAACATAATTAGAATTGAAATCCCTGATGACATTGTTATGTATCTCCCAGCTCTGGATGATAAATAATTTTGGTAAAATTCATGTCTTTAGTAAGTAAGTTCAGCTTCTTGGCTGTTAGGAATACACTGCCGCACAATTTTAACACAAGGTTCTCTCTGTATTTTTCATGGTCTGATCTCAGCAGACCCTCAGGCAAAACAGTCACATGTTGTAACATGACATTGGTTAGCAGCTTATGAATATATAAAGTTAGATTGTTTAATCTTCAAAATGCTAAAAAAAAATTAATGGCACACGAAAGCAGATGCAACTTCAACCCTTAGTATATTTTTATATGAATTTTGATGCATATTAGCTTCGTTCAAGTTGAAGGATAGGCATCATGTTTTTTCAAGTCTGGCTTAAAACAATACTCACATGCTCATGTATTCCCACTTTTCATCGTGGCTGTTAAAAGATCCCTACAAGTTACAGTCTGTTTACTGCAAATTCTTTGTATTACAATTCCTCCACAAATAAACACCAAAACACTGTCGAGGGAAACACAAAGAGTGAATTCTGGGCATCTGACTATATAGTTTAGGCCAGACTTGTGAACCTATCCTCTGAAGGTATAACTGCAAGTGAGCCCAATTTTGTCTGTATTCTTAAGGCAGTCCATGAAATAGTGCATTGCTATCCGTTGCAGAAGCTGCAGCAGTATCGCTCTGCTCCAAAGGTAATGCGTTGCATGACCAACACTCCAGTGGTGGTGCGCGAAGGGGCCACTGTGTACGCCACAGGTACCCATGCAGAGGTGGAGGATGGAAAGCTTCTGGAGCAGCTGATGGCCAGTGTAGGATACTGCACTGAGGTGGAAGAGGACCTGATTGATGCTGTTACTGGTCTCAGTGGTAGTGGTCCTGCTTATGTGAGTTAATTATAACATATCTATCATGTTTTGGAATACTACCTTAACAAAAAATTCATCTTTTGGATTATTTTCCCTCATTTTGATGATTGTGGCCTTGCAGGCGTTCACAGCTGTAGATGCTCTTGCTGATGGTGGAGTGAAAATGGGCCTAAACAGGAGACTTGCTGTACGCCTCGGAGCCCAGGCCCTGCTGGTATGGCCTTTATCCTAATTCTGTTCTACCAGATGTGAATTGCAGCTTGTTTTGGTTTGTTCTAGACACAGTCTGAATAAACCGTATCTGGATGAGAAAAAAAAAAGTGAGAGATATTCTCGCAGTGACATCACACCAGCTTTGATGTCCACCATCATGTTGACGGCTCAATTATTAACAACAACAAAACAGCTGTTAAGTTTTGTGCATTGGAAAAATCTATCCACAGACATATAAACAACAGCTAAAGTACTCAAAACTGACTTCTTGGTAGTTCTCGCTTCAGTAGGTGTCTACATGACCCCATTTGCCATGATGATACACACAAAGAGACTCAAAAGGTGAAAACAAAACTAGCTCCAATGTGGCATCTGATAAAAACAGGTTGTTTATGACGTGATCAGAGTTGTGCTGGACTGATGTGGATATCACTTTGTGTTTCTTCTAAGGGAGCAGCTCGAATGCTCTTGGACTCAGAGCAGCACCCTGGGCAACTCAAGGACAATGTGTGTTCACCAGGGGGCGCCACCATCCATGCCCTGCATGTTATGGAGAGTGGTGGCTTCCGCAGCCTCCTGATTAATGCTGTGGAGGCCTCCTGTGTTAGGACTAGGTATGTTGATAAGAAAAAATGCAAGACAAACAAACTAACAAATCATATTCCCTGTCATATGGATTCAAGAAATGCTTTTAAGTTAATTGTCTGAGGCTGATTTGTTTTTTTGTTTTTTTTTAAGTTTGTAATTCAGACGGTAGATGGAGCCATGTGCAAATAATTTTAATTATATCCTCTGCTTACTAATTACCTAATGATAAGATTAGTATTATGCTACTATACTTTGTTGTGCTAAATATGTATATTGCATGCTGCTTTGTAAATGCTTCTGTGTTCCTGACCTTTTCTTAAAAGGGAACTTCAATTTTTGGCTGACCAAGAGAGGATCTCCCCAGCTGCCATAAAGAAAACAACTCTGGACAAAGTGCTGCAGCAGCCAGGAGTGACCGCGGAAGCTGTTGGAGTCAGATCCGGTGGGATCAGTATGTTTAACAACAGCAAACCCAGGATTAAGAAGAACTGATCATTTTTTGTCAGGCAGAGAAACTGCACACTTTAATGTGACTTGTCACTTCACTGGTGATGCAGTGTAGGCTGTCAATAAACCACTCCAGGCAGATGATTATTGAAACATAAGATAACCAAGTGATTTGCTTTCTAGAAAAAAATCAACAGAATTTGGGATGGTGCCTGACAATACGAAAAACTATGAGTATTGAGTAATATAATATTTTTGTAATGAAATGTCTTCCCTCTGTAATGTTTTATATTCTTAATTGGTACCTACCCATTCAAGGTTTGCTTCCTGTGCTATCACATCACTTCCCCAGTCAGTTAATGTATGGTATCTGTGGTTGTTATATTGCTTTCTAAATGTTATTTCACTTGGTCCTTTCTGATGGTAAATGGAAAAATTAGGTTTACTAGTTATCCATGCAGTCAGTGGTGTGCAGTGAGGCTCTGGACCATTGTTTTTTTATGTCATGCCACCAGTGTACATAGCATTATATTGTCATGCTAGTGTCTGTGACTCTGCAGACCACAAGTAGCCAATATGCAATAGATACTCTGATTAGATTTCAGAGCACCTTGCATAAATTTTCATATTTATGAAGAAGCACTGATTTCCCAGAAATTGCTGTAACTCCTTAGCACTTAAAGCTAACAAGTTTAAGCTGGTACCAAATATGTAGTATGAAAAGACAAGCATGTTGGTATGGAAAATCTTTACTAAT